ACAAAGACTTACTTTACATTAAAAAAAAATCTGTATGTATATGTTCATAGCATCTATATCAATAATAGAAAAAAAACACCTGTATCTCTTTTAATGGGTAAATAACTGATTTTATATCTATACCATGGACATAACATAATAATGAAAAGGAACAAATTAATGGTACATGGATGAATATTGAATATGGATGAACCTCCAGAAAATCAAGCTGAGTGAAAAAAGCCATCCCAGGCAATATATATGATCACATTTCATTTATATAACATTCTTTTTTTTCTTTTGCCAATAATTACCTCTTAAACAAGATGAAGAAACATGACTTGGATATCTACTAAAACAGATTATGAGAAAACATAAAGACATACAATAAAAGTATAAACTAGTATCTCAGAGATATAGTTCATCTTACAGCCTTTTAATTAGAAACTAAAGGAAGCTAAGAAAACAAAAAGTCTATCAGCCTATAACAATCTAACTATAGCTCAGTAATGAGGCCAAACACTCTGTATAATTAATAGAACATCATTATTTAATTCCTTTGTAAGAATTCTAGACTGAGTTTTTAAGAGTTTTCTAAATAAAAATATTCCTGAGGGGAAATAAGGCTGATTTTATACAGGAAGTGTCTTGGCATGAATTCCCTTATTACATATTACATCATGTATAATGCTATTGAATTGACAAAATTATAGCAATAGAGAACAGATTTGTGGTTCCCAGATTTTAAGGAGGAGTTGGGTATAGAAGAGATGTGAGTATAGCTATAAAAGGGGATATGAGACATCCTTATAATGGATGTATTTGGACTATATTCAGTACGTTATCCTTGTTGTGATCTTTTATTATGTTTGCAAAATGTTACATTCATGAAAACTGGATAAAGAGTACATGGGATCTCTAATATTTCCTGCACCAACATGTAGATCTATAAGTTTCTCAAAGTTTAATTTTTAAAAATGCGTATAAGGCCAAAGAAATGGTAGAATGTTATAAATAATCGAAAGAGCACTAGTGTTAAAGTCAGATTGTCTTAAGGTTGAATACTGGGTCTACCGCATTTTTAGTTATGTCAGCTTTACCTGACTGAGCCTTAAATAAATGACACTCATTAAGGTCAGTCAGCATCGCCATCATCACCAAAACCCACATAGAGTACCTACTGTGTGCCAGTCACTGTTTTAAACACTTTACATATTTAAACACCTTTAATTTTCTAAACTGCCCTATAATGTAGTCATATCATTATCTCAGTTTTAAGTAGGGAGACACTGAGGCATGGAAAGGAAAAGTAATTCACTTGGGACTGCATAGTAACTAGGCAAACATGAATCTGAAACCTGGAAATATTCCACAAGACTTAATACCTGCCCTGAACATTGATTGAGCTGAGGACAAAAATAGGGACCCCATACTAAATATGTAACTGTTTGAGAGTCATGAATCAAACCAACAAACTTAAATGTACTGGGTAACCCCTTGGAAGGCTAGGTTTGAGTTTAAAATTCTCGGGCTCTACACAGTTCTACCTTCCTTTTTTCTACGCATGGTTTGGTTCCACATTGTGAGAAGCCTCTTTGCACATTTGACTGGACACCTCAGCACGCAAATTCAAGTCCTGTTCACACTCAGGCATAAGGGCACGCATAACACCAAGTCTGTGTGCTTTGGATGCATGACCTTGGGGAAGAGGACCGTGCAAACCCTGGAATCTCAGAGCCTTTAGATGGGGAATCCCAGGGTACTAGGTATCAGAAGTAAGTTCTAGAAGTAATGGGAAAGTTTCTTGCCTGTCTAGATCAACCCCCACCCTCCTGGGAGAAGTACAGCCTCAAAAGACCCAAAGCAAGGTCCAGAGAAGGGACGCTCTTACTTATGTCTAAGTGTGATACTGACCTCCTTCAACAGGAATGATACTTACTGCTCATTATTGTGAAGATTACAGTTAATTTACACGAGGATACTCACGTATATGGTGCAAGATGTGTAATACTTTGCTGAAGTAAACATGTGGCTATCCTGTTACTATTTGCAGTTAATACTTTCATATCAAGCAGTACATTTTCTTAACATTAATATTTATACTTAAAATATATCATTTTTTTCCTTGGCAGATGGACTGGAGACTTTTACCAGATTTCTTAAGACTGAATTCAGTGAGGAAAATATTGAATTTTGGAAAGCCTGTGAAGATTTCAAGAAAAGCAAAGGACCTCAACAAATGATCTTTAAAGCAAAAGCAATATATGAGAAATTTATACAGAATGATGCTCCACAAGAGGTATAGTAAAGATGTCTTTAAAAATTTACAATGGTTTGAAAAGTTTCTGAGAAAATCTGCCTTCACCAAATAGGTGCCTCCAATACCTTCTACCAGAAAGGTCAGGATTGTGTTGAAGCAAAAATGAGTATTTATATAGATTTTCTACATACAAACGAATTATAAGATATTGCTGTCTAAGTAAAGTTATAATTGAAGTCACTATTCAGGGTTATTTTTATTCTAGATTAAGAGTGAATACAATTGCTTGTGATACTTAAAGTCATCCAGTTAATCCACATTAATCACCTTTGCATAAGCAACCTCTCACAGAAACTAAAGATTTCTGTAAGTGATGAAGTCAAGAAAAATCAAAAAGTTTGATTCATGTACCATTTTAATGTTGGCTCATCTACCCATACAGCTTTGCTGGCCCCCAGATGATTGTTCCTCCGCCTTAAAATAGGGTAAAAGAAAATGCCACAATAGAGAGATGAGGGGAATAGTTCAAGTGAGAAAACAACTGTGATATTTCTTGACTGCTAGCTTAGTATGAGATAATCATATGCTACAATTGCCAAATTACTGTAAAACTAGCAAATATCTTACTATCCTCAAATATGACTAAATAGAATTTCTATATATTTGTTACGTGTTCAATAAATCGCTCTTCATTGAGGCAGTGGAGCTGGAAGTCTCTCAGTGTCTGAGAGTGTTGTTTGACTCTGAACCAGTGTCGCCCGTAAGGCAGCGCCGTCCATGGATATTCCGCACGCAATGATGGCTGTTTTCCTGGTTCCAGTGATTTCAGTCTGTTTTGTTTTTCTGTGTATTATTCTGTTTTCCTCACAGCCAACCTTATGCACAGATTTAAAAGGCAGCTGGTTGTATGGTGTTACCCACAGGGATGGGAAAGGCCCTTACCTGAACACCCAACCGCCATCAGTGAATAGATATATCAAAAGTACTTTTATAAAAAAGATTAAACAATTTTATATCCTTAAAAGATATCCATTTGCAGCATACATTTGCTTGTAGAAAAGCATCATAACATAATGAAAAGAGCACTGGATTAAAAAAAAATAAAGCCCCATGTTGCAATCCCAAATACACCCGACTCACTGTGCCCTCACTCAGAGGGATTTAGTTTCTATAAAGCTTAGTTTCCACTTTGAAAATGAGTTGAACCTAGTGATCTTTATGATACTTACAACATGCCATTATTCTAAATTAGCGAAGATAGAGTGAAGTGTCAAATGAATATCAGCCCAGAGTAAATCACTGGATCCCTAGACCCATAACAGAAAAATCCCCCAGGCATCTAATTGCACTGTGCTCCCCCCAGCATCGGGTCAGTCCTGTATCGTTTCTAACAGGCGTTTGCTTAAATAAATTGACTATAATAACATTATCATCATTACCATATTATTATTATTATTATTATTATTATTATTATTATTATTATTACCATCATCATCCAGGTCAACCTTGATTTTCACACCAAAGAAATCATTACAAAGAGCATCACCCAACCCACCCTCCACAGTTTCGATGCTGCACAGAGCAGAGTGTACCAGCTTATGGAACAAGACAGTTACGCACGTTTTCTGAAATCTGACATCTATTTAGACTTGATAGAAGGAAGACCTCAGAGACCAACAAATCTTAGAAGACGATCCCGCTCATTTACCTACAATGAATTCCAAGATGTAAAGTCAGATGTTGCCATTTGGTTTTGAGGAAAACTTATTTGGCTCATTTTGATAGCAAACTTGTACATCTGCTTCTAAAATATAGCACGTTTATGTTAACAAATGGGTGCATCTTTTAAGATAAAGTGCATCGTCTGAAAGGGTTTTTAAAATGTAAGTCAAAGCTTTTATTCTAACAATACATACTGTAACTGCCACTATATTCTGTAATACCTTCCATTTGACTTCATTCCATTCATAATAAAAAAAGCTTATTATTTAATTAAAAGACAGTAAAGAAGTAATAAGAATGTTTTATAAGACCATAAAGTTAAGTAAAGGTTAAGCTTTTGTAAAATCGTCAAGTTTGGTGAAATATCTCGTTTGACTTTTTTCTAGATGTTAACAACTAATGCTCAGATATTCATATATTCAGACATTTCCATAATGATGAACATTCAGTCATAGATAGAGTATAAGTGATTCAGTTCTTACAATGACAGAGGACAATCATTTGTCTTTGGTTTACTAACCCCGGCTCAAGAATAGCAATGTGTGATTTCTACTTAGACACCAGCAATAGGAACTTTAGGAAAGTAACATCAATCTCTGTAGAACTTCCAGGTTAAACATAATGTAAGTTGTTGATTGAAGATGGGTTCCACTCATCCCCAAGTGAGCTTGGGTTCACCTCATTAAGTGGAACACACTTCTGATGGTTACAGACCGTGATTATGCTTAGCTCCAGATGGGGTCTGGATAGAAATAGGTAGATAGAACATCTGCTCATTTGTTAACAGAATTTCTACTAAAAGAGTGGGAAAACAGTGAGTTGAATGATACCCAAAGGAGGTATATCCCAAGAGTAATTAGGGTTCATGTTGGGGCTTTTAGGATTGAGATTAAAAACTAAAAATGAGAGGAAGTAAAGAAGCAAAGAGTCCAAGGCTCTGGAGACGCATGCATCTTCCACACCAGCGCATATTCAGAAAGTCTTCCCCCACTGATCTTTTTCCAAATTTCATTGAATCATTTAATACTATGTTATTTGAATAAGATTTTGCTAATAAATCTATGTCTCTAATTTAAAGAAATGGTTAATTTTAGGTGTATGTGTGTTGCATGATCTGTAAATGTCCATATTTAAAGATGCTATTCATTTGGCTTTGGCAAATACTGTTTTAGTTGATGTGTAAAATAGAAAAACTGTAGATCACCTATAATAATTAATATTTTTAATTTCTTCATTCATATAGTTAATAGTTAATATTTGCTTGACCACTAAATCCTCTTACTAATTACTGACTCCTGTCAACTTAGACATAGACATAAACATGTTTTCTTAGTAAGATAGAAAGTACTAATTGAAGTATTTGCCACTGATCTGAATGCTAAATCAATTCCTATACTGTTGTGAATATGAAAAAAAGGTAGCATGCAGTTCAAGGATCAACTAAGAAGTGACTTTTAATTTTATTTGATTTGTATATTATTTTTTGTATCAATGTCTTCAAAGAGTTTGATTGCTTCATACACAGAGTTAATTCTTGATGCAGCTTTCTGATCTCATCAGAAAAATCATGGACTAATTTTTAACATCATTTGTCTAAGGCGACAAATACATATTATGAGCTTTTTCATTTGAAATACTCTTCAGAATTATATGATACCTTGTTTAAATTATGAAATATTCAGTGAGACTCTTCAAAAACATACCAGGACTTTTTGATGAAGTTAATGCCTGACTTCAAGGAATTTGATAGGTGGGGGAAATAACATCACCAAATACAGAAAACAAAACAAGCAATTGAGGAAGTGAAAGAAGCCGAGTAAAAATGTACAGACAGTACTGAATGCTAGCTGAAGCATTGCAGAAGTTACAATAAAAGTCTGAGAATTTGCAAGCCTCAGTGAGATCCTTAAGTGGATGTCTGATCCTCAAAAATTCACTTAACTTTGAAAAAACCTTAACTTCTACTTTCTTTTTAAAGATAAGGACTCAGGATTTCTAATTTCTAATCATCTTTATAGTTCCTACATTTATTGATTCTAAGTGGATTACCTGATATTCTCCAAACAACTCTTGATGGATACCCAAGTAATGAAAACACACAAATAAATGTGGTTAATAAAGAAAGGTTTCAGGCTATTTAAGATGAGTTATTGCTCTAAGAGTAAGGAGTGATTTTGTAGGAAACTTGGAATTACACAAAGGGAAAGAAACCATAGAAAGTATAGCTTTAAAGTTGGAGTTGGGTTGAGTTAAATAATTAGGGTATCTTGAAGCCCATAGACAAAAGTCAATACCTATGCTGTCATATTTTGTATGTAATAGAAGCTCAACAAATGACTGTGGAGTCAAGTGGGAGATAAAGGAAGCATTATGAGAAAGTGTCATATTTCAGCAAAGAGAAAAGGCTTTAAAATGTGGCATATTTTTATTTGAATCCTGGTTCTGCCACTTATCAAGTGCAGTATACTGGGAAAGTTGTTTAAATATTCTGAACTTCAAGTTTTCATTTGCCATACTGGAATAAGACATTTATAGTGTTCTTAAGATGATTAAATTTTAAAATATTTGTAAAGTGCTAAGTATAGATTGATTTTGATATGTGGACATGATTACCGAAATTATTCCTGGTATTTAAGTATCAGATTTTAATTATAATATATATTTCCCTAATAATGTCTATGTTAAAAATCAAACAAATGTCCTTTGAGAATAATGAGATTTTCTTGAGTAAAATATGGGGACAGTTATTGCTGTCATCAAATCTCATAATTTTGCACTGCATAGAAGAGTAAATAATAATATTTTAGCTAAATGAGGAATATGAGAAAATTATAATCTTAAAAGTCTTCTAAAGACAAAACTGAAAAAATAATGAACTTTTAGTTATATGCAATGTATGCCTTCTTTAAGAAACAAAAAAAAGGACAGAGCACATTGAAGATGTATACCCATCAAAAGGCTTACAGACTTGAGTATAGCATTAACTAAATTTAAATACATTAAATTTATTTTCATTGTGCCACATTAACTTATCTTTAATTTCCTCACTCTTTAAATACCATGTCTATAAAAGAGAAAAAACAAAAACAAAAACCCTTGCCAATTTAATCACATTTGCTCATCTACATACCTGAAGTCTTTTCAACAATAAAAGTAAAAGGTGATATAATATATCCAAATCCATCTTCTATAACATGTAAAATGAATGAATAAATATTTGTTGAAACTGTATTTTATTTATCTGTTAGATGCTGGACATTCAGAAGTGAATCAGAGAGGAATGAACAGGCGAGAGAAAGAGGGAAAGAAACTTCATTGTATGTTCTCTGATAAAGTTTGAATTCTACAAAATACAGCTGAAAGCCATGTTTTAAAATAGACACTCCTTCATATTTATCCTAAATAGGAAATCTTTGACCGAATTTATCTTTTGAAACTAGAAGTAACCTAGTTTTTCTTTTTCTAATTTCTTTAAGAGAAACAGAGAAGACCCACTTTCACAATTGTGCATCTTTTTTTAAATGAAAACAGAACTAATAGCAATCACACAGATAAAAACACATTTTATTTAAGACTTGCCTTTTAAATGAACCAATTGTAGAAAAGACCTTCAAAAGAGTAAAAAAAGGAGACAGAGAACATAATTTTAGGCAACATTTTAAGAAATCATATAACTTAAGAAATGAGAGAAAAATTAACAGCATAAGCGGTAAAATATTACATTTGAAACATAGAGCCAGTATGAACTGTGATTCTAAAGGATAAAATCATTTTATAGAAAATACATTTATGTGGAAACTTGCCTTTGAATTGAACTTTCTAGAGTAGAAATGAAACTTTTAGAAATAATAACCAAAGGAAATATTTTAAAAATCATGAATTTAGTAAAAACATTATTAGCTTTCAGATTGTATGTTTATAGTTTCATCTCTGACACCTTTACCTATCTGCAGAGAATAAACAGTAATTGTTAAGTATGAAGACTGAAACATTGCTAAGTTTAGAGCTACTAAAAAATAGCAAAATTTTGCTTAATAGACTATTTATTAGAGCAAGGAAGTGAATGAAAAACATTTAGAAGATTGTTATCGGCCTGTGAAACCCAACAATTATTTTCTGAACATTGAACAACACGCAGAGAAATGTGAATATTTAAACATGAACTCCAAAGAGGTCAAGCCAGTATGAATGATACATGTATTTATCAACCCATACCTGGGAATACTCTGTATCTAATTTAGCCTTGTTTAATTACACAGAGTTTTTGTAGTTCAATAAACATTTGCTGTGCTTTACTTCTTTTCCAGTCATTGTACTGGACTGTAGGAATGAAAAAGCTAATAATATAGTGTAGAGTCTATTGTTGAGGCTATCACACCCAATGGCAAACACACAAACCAATAAATTCCAATAAAACATACAAAACATTCACTGTATTTTGCCTTGTCTATCTCTAAAACGTGGCAAGATAGTTTCACACAATGCAGCAAAACACCAAAGTGTGTCTTCACAATATGTTTGAGTATATCTTACAGTCTGGGGTCAGATATTGAATTTCTATCTTTCCATTGAAACCTGCTTTAAAATACCAATCTCAGGAGCCCCAAACTGATCTCATGGAAGAGATACATGAAAGTTCATTCACATTATAATATGATTCATTACAGGCTTCCTTAAGTCAAGATCCCAGAAAAGTATTTAGGTATTATTCACCGGAAATTACTTAACATAGAGTGTTAAAAGACACTGATTAATGAATATCAACCAAAACATCAGATACATGATGTCTGAAACTATGAAGAAAATTCATTCAAATATCATGATTCAACTGATTAAATTTTATCTATATTTTTCATAAGCATATCTGTTGATATTTCACAAAATAAAATACATTCTCTTAAAAAAGTCACATGATCATGAAGGAAGCAGTAACTTTGTAATATGGTCCATAATTTAGTTTTTTGCTAGCCAATTTAGGTTACACCATGGTTTTTAAAAAGAATTATAAACATATCAAAAAGAAACCACATTTAATTCTAATATAACCTAAACAAATATAAAATCTTAAGAGCATAAATTGAAATTATAAAGACCTCTAATCTTCCAATTTAGAAAGAAGCATTTTAGTACATAATTACATTTCCTTCTAATCTTTTAAAAATCTGCTTAATATTGTCACCATCATTCAGACTGTGGATTATCAATATGAATACTAATTATCAGAGAATTCTGCCTATTGATTACTAAAAATTAAATTTTAAACATTAAAATTCATGTGTGAAAAAATCTCTTAATTTAAAATACATAATTTATGACATAAATATGAACTAGCCAAATGGAGCCATGAAAAGAATATAGATAAATCTCAAAAATGACAGGTGATGACATACTTGAAGTAAATTCTAGATGGAATATGTGAAAAGATAAGATGTATGAAGACAGGGGCTGAGGAAAAGTCAAGGAAGTCAAAAAAACAGAAATACATGATGGATATAGCAATGTCTTCTAAAAGGCAATATTTAATTAAAATAAAGCCTTGTAGAATCTTTTTGAATGAGAAAAGATGAGAGAATTGAAAATTTTTATTCAAATCATGCATTTTTCCGATAAGAAAATTTTCATTTCATTACTGGCTTTCATTACTTAACTTTTATTCCAGCACTGAACACTAGTGTTGGAAGACTTATCATGTCCCATCAACCTTTCACATTGTTTAAGTCAGAATAATGAAATTATCTCTAGAATAACTTAGAACAATGAAGAATTTGAGTGAAAACATGACTCAGATATCAACCAATATCATTTATTTATTCATCTCATCAATAACAATTTATTAGCGCTTACTAAGTATTCAGATTTTTTTCCAATAAAACACAGCATCAGATGAGTATACTAAATACACCTTCCTGTCAAAAAGTCATCTTTGCTTTATTGGAAATTAAGTCTTAATCAGGGCTCAGTATGAAATTAGAGTATTTTCTTCAAATTTATTTTTACTGATATTATAAATACATGTTATTAGTGAATATATACATTCACATACATAATTATTGAAAAAATGCAAACTATATTAAAGTCAACTGTTTTTTAAATTTAATTTTACTTATAAAATGCCAAAGATGTTATAATTTAATTGAATGGTAATCTTTGAAGCAATGAAAATTAAGAGAATTTTGTTTTATGGAAGAGATGAATGAAGTAAATTAATTGTGCTTATGTATAGTATCTAAATTTGTTAGTCAAAATTCCTAACAGTGTTAAAATTTTAGTCATATGTGTACTTATGACTACATATGCACACCACTCCTGACTTTCAGTTTAAATCACTAAGATACTTAATAATATGTTACACGTTTAATTTAATAACTATTACACAATTGTAAAATACTAAGTTTTGGTAGTTCTGTCTTTGGTTTCTATAATGAGGATATATATCATATATTACAGGAGTTAATCTGTTAAATTCATTTTTAAATAGAAACTACCTTAATTTTTAGATATTTCATTGAATATTTTTTAAGACTTACTAGAACTTCTGATTTATTCTTTTGTTTTTAGAAAGTTTCACTGCTTTTCTCTTATACTTTATATATGCTACATATACTTGCTTCCAAAATTCTAATATATTTATACTGACTATTACTGGTTAAAATTCATAGTATCAAAAGTGAAAATTTAACTTGTTAAGTTTTGACCAAAGAGGTTAAGTTTCTTCTCCATGTTATAAGGCTGAGTCTTTAGCAAGGATATTAAATGGGTTGCTCGGTCAAGTCTCTTCAAAAGGCACATGATAATTCAGACCAGACTTGGCATCAACAAGAGAAAAATTCTCAGATACCAAATGTAAAACCACAGCATACATGTGAAAATTTTGTTGGATGTATGCTTTTTGAAACCCCTAATTACACTACATAAAGTAAAGGAGCACTTAAAGTCATAGTACAACAATGAATCATGCAGAAGGAAATGTTGGCTATGATGGAAATTGGGGAAAGGGGTGGATGTGGGTGGGATGGATGGTGGAGCTCTGGGAGAACCATAGTATTAATCTGTACAAAAACATCCTCATTTAGAAAGAATTCTGTGTATGTATCAATATGCTACATGTAACTGAATCATAGACTTTATTAAACAATCATTGAATCTATTTGTTTTGTTTTGTTTTTCAACCCTTAAAGTTAACAAGCTTGATGATTTTACCTTATATGTTATTCTTTCTTCTACTTCTTTCAAAATTAAAATTGCTGAAATACCAATTGGGTCTCACGTGATTTTATAGACTTGGTTGTTTTATTCCTCAGACTTCATCTCCCTAAACTAAGTAATCATTTACTGAGATTATTCTGAAGTCTATAAATTCTGTCTTTATAGGTGTGTTCCCCTTAAACATGGCTTATAAACAAAACTATCCTGGGTGCAAAAATAACACCTACACTTCTGTTTTTTACTCCATGCATGATGTTACATTAAAAAACACTTTAATACAAAAATTGAATAAGGAAGTTTAGATAAAGGAAGTAAAGTCCATATAATAGGATTTCAGAGTGTTGAAAAATAAATGCAATGTGAATTTAAAACAAACGGTGCATTGGAAGCCCAGAACTTTTCTCCTCCTTCCTTAGTACACAGGTGCTGCTGGACATCACAAGTTTATATTTGTGAATTTTAGGAAGCCAGCGGAGATTTTGCAAACAGAAAATACAGAGCCTGTAATGTTATTTTCTTCAGATATCATTAGATATAACTAAACTCTTTAAAAGCACTCTCGGATAAAATAGAAAATAGTTGATTATTTGTAACAACATGAAAAAAAATTTTTTGTTTCTAGGTATTGAGGAATTTTTGTTTCTTAATATGTCAACATATTTATGGAAATAGAAATTGAGGATCTTCATATATTTACAGAATTGAATTATCTTTGTCTCAATATGTGTCTCACCAGTTTCAAGCAGTCTGACAAAAACATGAGATATGCCAGTTTAATAGTATGAAATACCATTAAACTGGCATATCAATAAAATGGTATTTTTTCATGCCATTAAATATTTTCATGTCTTGAAAATATTAAGGGCTAACTGTTACAGGGTCTTTCTTCTTTTCAGCTATATCCCAATATTCTAAACATTGTCTCATTTATATCCTGAGAAAACATTTTATTTTTTTTACCAATTATCTAGAGTCTCATTTCACTTTATAATGGCATTGATGATACAGAATACTAAAGACCTCTCTTAAACCTCACCAATGTGGAAGACGTACTTTCTCAAAAAGGTTTTCCTAAGTAGATTCATTTTACAATTTAATTTCCTTCAATGAGGTAAAGGTCAGTGTGAAGCTATAAGAAAGTTAATTTGCATGAGGTATGCACATGGAATATGAAAATAATATAAAATATTCATAATTCAAGTTTTTAAAAGCCACCTCAAGGCTAAAAAAGCAATTATATAGGGAATGGCTCAACAATTACAACAGTTTTTTTGATGATATCAACTAATACACTTTGATTCTGAGAGACACAAAGAGACAATTGTGTAGGATAGTAACAAATTCTAAGAATTAGCAATCCTTTGTTCTACATTCTTCATATGTTCATCAGCATTAGAAAATGTTTATCAATGCTAAATTTGTCAACCACTAATATAATTCTCTATGCAGTTCTACTAATCTAGTAATTCTACATCAGTTTTGTATCTACGCTGCTTATCAATTTGCCTATCCCCACACTTATACAAGTAATTTTTTAACAATGACAACGAACACATATTGAGTATGTCCCATATTTATCTATTTGAATAAGGCTGAAATTGTGTTCATATTCACAATAGCGTGGCAGACATCTGTTCATCTGTTGCTTCTTTATCTTGAAATCAAGTGACTTTAGTAACAGTGTCATAGAAGTACAGTGTGTCTTGGGGTGACTCAACTGATTCTTACCTTGTTCCCTTCAAATAAAAAAAACAATAATTCTCTATATTTCTTAATAAAGAAGTTTGATTATCTTGAACCCTAATGAGTATATAAAAGAGTTCCTTGAGATTTTATGAAGGATCCTACAAAATATTAATTCTGGGACATGATCCTGTTTCTCTGCTGATCTGAATTGCTGTAATGCCTAAATAAGCATTGACATGCTTATTATTAATGCATGACACATCCTGGCCCCAGATTTCTCTCTGGAGCATCTGGGTGCTGAGTACTACATGTCACAGCATCCTTTCTCCCACAGCCACCTCTGCCTGCGACAGCAGCCCTGACATGGAGTCCCAACTCCTAGGAATTTGCTGGGCTTTGAAGTCTCTGTCTCAGTGAGAACTGTGTTTGAGGGCACAGTCAGTACTTGGGGGTGGGAGCCATGGTGATAAGAGATGAGAAAAAGACACTGAACTGTGGCTGCCTC